GGGGTGCCGGTCTACTTGTTCTTGTTTGCGAATGCCTGTTAATAAAGTTGGTTGAGTTTAACTTACCTCAGACGCCTCCAGCCTCGTTCTTCTAGAGAACTGAACAATGGTAACTGATTAACTTCAGGTATATGAATGCCTGGTCACAGTAGCTCCCAGCAATAGAGTACATAGACCTATACATCTCCAGATGTTGGCGTCTGCTCTACTTACAAGACTAGAGTAACTAGGGCGACATGTATTTTGTAATATCAGATGGGTGAGGATTTGCCCTGGGGTCCCAGAGGACATTAGTAGAAATTCCTGCTGCACAGCCCAGCAGGCAGGAAATCTGACTGTAGAGTAAATTGGTTGATACATACTGTACACGTGGTTTTAAGCAAAGCAAAAAAGATCTACATAAAATTGTCCGAAAAGCAGCAAAAGTCAGATCTAACTTCTTGTTTATTCAGTTTGAATATAACGAACAGTCCAACTGTGTTGCATTTGGAATTTTATTAATGTTTTTTTTCCTCTACTTATCAGAATAGGTATCACAGAAAAGGGTTCACTTAATGTAAATCTCAGTGTAACATCTCAAGTTGGCCATTCTTCTGCCCCCCCTAAGAGGACCAGCATTGGTATTCTTTCTGAGGCCTTATACAAGTGAGTGTCTGTCTTGGGAACATATTAGCATTGTGATTCAATGCATATCTAATGGGGAAAAACCTTATTTGGGTTGAATGCAACAGCTTCCAGTAAAACATATAAAGCACAGTAGTCTAAGGTGCTACAGAATAAGTCATGAATAGTTGTAACAGAATTTTACAACCTGGCAGTTTTTAGCTAGGATGGTTTACAACCTATCTAACCCATTTTTTCTGGATGTTACAATCCAATACATCTTCAAGGAGGAAGTTATGGTTGTAGAATTCGGAAATAAGTGGTATCTATTTATTCCGTTCTATTGTGTTATTTTCTAGAATGAGTCACAATAATTTGTAAAGCGGGTGATATATCTAAGTTTATGGGGTGCTTTATTGCTATGCCATCGAGACGTTACTAGGAAAGAAATCTTAATTTTGTTTTGTCTCCTGCCTATCATTCCCCTACCGTCAATCATTTCAACATGGGGGATAAACAAGAATAAGAGGCAAATTCTATTTCTGAAGAATCTTTTAGTCTTCATCAACAACTAAGGCTGTTGCCTATTATACATTGCTGCAATTGAGCAAATAATTATACTTAAGAACAATTAACTAAACTAATTGCATATTCTTTTTCTACTCCACTTTCCTCTCTCTTTCAATATTGTTTCTTCAGTTAATTTTATTGTTATTGAATAAAAAAGAATCAAAAGCTATGTGTCATATGCTACAAATAATTAACACAGTACATGACTTATATGATAGATTCTCATATACTTTTATTTTACTTATTCAACATATTTATATAGCTGCCCATCTCAGAGTAATGTACAGCAAACAAACTTTAGAAATCATTATTAAAAAGAAAAATAGTACAAATTTTATTTTTAAAACTATATCCACCACACAGAGAGAGTAAAAACATCTCTATTTCAATCCATTTTACACTGGGAATAGAGAATGAGATTTGATCCATACCTTCTGCATGTCCTACCACCAGGAGTTCCTTCTTTTGTAGATGGCTACATTCAAATTATAAAAAAATCTCTTTGCCACATAATATCATTGAAAAAAGATACTTTCAGAAGGATGGGTTACATGTTTCATGTACTAAGGGATTTTTTTTCTTAAAATCTGTTTGATTTATCTTTTTAAGAAAGAAGCTAACATATCTAACAAACTTACATATTAGCGCAATATATCATCTTGGCCACAAAATAATTCAACTAAATGTACTTCATTTTGCTTTTTGCATTTGATTCCTATAGGTTGGAAACGCAGCCTATGCCCAATTTGTTTGGTCATGGACCTGAAATCATGATGTTTGAACAACTGGTACCAGTGGTGAGTATTGAACAGTACATGCTTTCTTCATTTCTACATCTTTCATAAGATCATTTTAAGACATTTAAGGCATCTCCCATTGCTATACTGCTATACTGAGCACTAGGCAAATGTACTTGATTTTCAGTGACAATGACTCTGGGTGGCATCATCATACAATACATGCAAAACAATTTCCAAAACATTCCCAATCACCAGAAGAAAGACAGCCATTAAAAGATAAAATAAGCTGCAGGACTTGCCACCAACTGACCCCGAAGCCTGGAGAAACAGCCAGGTTTTCAGAGCTCTATTGATCATAGCCAGTGGCAGCCAGCTATATCTTAGAGGGGCATAATTTTTCTTGATCTCAACAGGTGGCACTGATTAAAGGATGAGACATGCAGCATGTCAATATTATCTGAACATATAGGATGGGCAGAAATTGTGAACCAGTGTCTGCTCAGATAGTCAGATCTGTGCCATAAAGGACTTTACAACCTACAACCTTTCATTTAATAATGGTTCAAAGTTACAATGACCTTAGAAAAAGTCACTTGCAACCTTTTCTTGAATTACAACTATTACACCACCCTTGCAGGCACATGATCACAATTTGGGTGCTTGGTAACCAGCTCACATTCATGATGGTCACAGCATGTTGCATTTATGTGGCTGTGATTTGTGACCTTCCCAACTGGCTTCCAATAAGCAAAGTCAATTGGGGAAGTCAGATTCACTGAATGACTACATGATTCACTTAATGACCACAATGACTTGCTTAAAAACCACGGTAAAAATAGTTAAATCATATCTAGTCAGTTTCACTTAATGACCACATTGTTTAATGACTGAAAGTCAAGTCCTAATTGTGATTGAAAGTCAAGGACTACCTTTATAGGTAATAATCAGGATCTTGACTTGCAGCTAATACCATAAATTGTATTTTTACAACTATTCCTTCCTTTGTTCTATAGATTCACTTTCTATTCTTCTTTTTATTTCATTTAAAAGAAAATTGTATCTTGGCTTTGTTTACAAATAAAACAAGTACTCAACTCAGATTATAATTAATAGAATGTTATAAAAAAATAATCTCATAAGACCACTGCCTTCCCTCGCAAGAATGGACTGGATTGTAGTTTGTATATAGTAATTATATTTACTTGAACAATCATATTTTTCTTGAATGGTAGATAAATATGTAGAAGAAAGTCTTATCTGGGGATACATTTGCTGATGTGTATATTCTCTCCTCCCATTCCCAATCTCCTGCCATTCAGTTCGACTTCCCCCTCAATATCATCATGGCAAATCTGTGGCTCTTTGGACCTCTTGTTGGCTGGTAAGAAAGAAGATGCTTTTATCATTTTCCTTTCTTGAAACCTACATGCATAAATTAATTAGGAAATGGTGGTAAAGGTTCTCCCTGTAGTATTCTTTCTTACTGCCTTTCTCCTCCTTTTTTAAAACTGTTCTTCTATTTTGAGAAGATGCAACAACAAAAATCTGCAAAACTTTCTTCAACTGCATTGATCTTTTATCAAATTCTGAAACGGCAATTATGTGAGTGTTAATACAATGCTATCACATCTGTTTGTGGGAGGAATAATATCTGCTAGTGAGCAACTTGACAAACTGCAAGGGAAAATTATCCACTGAACAGTTATCAATCTAAAATGTATTATGTAAAAGAGAGCAGAAGAAGTAAAAATAAACTGAGCCTGGGTAAATAAATGAAAAATATACTGGAAGCTACAGGCAATATATTTAGGGCTTCTTCTTTCTTCCCCTTTTTGTATTAATTGCTGTACTTCAATTAATGTAAAATATTGCTGCTATTTTGCAGAGTACAGAAAGTTATGTTGGTTTAATGTGGATACCAAAGAAACTTTTGCCTTTTAAATCTTTATGCAGGTTTCTTGAGCGAACTCCTGGCACTAATGCTTTGGTTCGGACCACCACTGCAATCACCATGTTTCATGCAGGAATAAAGGTATAACTGGAAGACACTAGGTTGGGAAAGTTGCAACTGAATCGGATAATTGGTGGCTCTTGCCCCACTTTTGTAACCTACAGAGACCCAACATTTGCATTGTACGCTGCCCAGAGTTGCTTTCAAAGCAAGATGGGCAGAATATAAATTCAATAAACAAACATTTGATAGGAAAATAAATCCAGATAAGATTTCCTGCCATTTTTGTCAGAAAATAAAACAAAACAGGTATATATGGCAATGGAAATGCTTAACATACTTAAAAAGAACAAAAACGCAACCAGAAAAAAAATTCCTTCCTTTCCACCCAATTTTCTTGCATTATTGTTCTTCCTGTAAAAATAATAATATTCTACTAAAACACTCGTCATGACTTTTAACTGGGTGAAACAATGCATTGGTAGGCAACTATGTTTGAACCTCAAATTGGCTAATTTGCAGGATGAGTCCAAAATCCAGGACCCACGAATTCCAAGGGAATGAAATTTAGGGAACTTGTGACTGCTTCTGTGCTACTGGTTGCTCCTGGCAGCTAGTGCAGTCATGTGATCTTTCATTTTCAATGTAGTTCCAAAAGAAAAACCAGTTGTTTTCAGTTGTATATTAATCTTTAAAATCCTCTGAATTAATGTATATCTTTGAATCAAGAATTTTCTAGCTATTTTACACATCCACCAAACATGATAAAATGTCCCTTATTGTTATTAACATTTCCAGCATTTCCAGCATTTGAGGTCCCTTAATAACATTCGTGTTAACGTATTCATCTTTCATTTATTAATCTTAAAACCTGCTAATGCACCAAATTCTTTTAATTTGCCCGTTCATATTTCAATTCCCTTTAAAGGATCTTCTACAATCAAAAGTAAATCACTTGTAAAGCCCCTAATTTATACTTTTCTATTAAAATCTCCTCCACAGTCCTCTCATCTTGCCTTATATCTCTATTCAATATTTCCAAAACCACAATAAACATAAAAGAGGACATCTCACAAGGGGAACACATCTTTCCCAGAGAATCCTACTTCTACCTAATCCCAGAACACAAAATGAAGCATCCACATTCCTACATGCTGCAAAACATCCTTTGTCCTAATAGATACACATATATACATAAGATGCACATTTTACTAAGAGCTCATCATGTTTACCCTTGATAATTTTAGATATATAGTAAACTTCAGTCTATGCTTGAGAAAAGTAAGCTTGTTGAATAATGGAAGTGCTTTGTTAGTCTGATGTCTGTGGCTGTCTGTGTGTATATGTATACATGTAGAAAATAGAATACCAAAGATGCAGTGTTTTAATCACTTAGTAATATAGCTATTGTTAAACAGCGACATCAACTGGTAGAACTGGGAAAAGTTACCCAAATTGCAGATCCACAATAAATGCTGCTCTGTCCCAGTCAAATGTGAAATGGAAATGTGTCCAGGGGTGAAATGCTACCATTTCGGACCGGTTTGCCTGAACCAGTAGTAAAAAATGCTACCAGTTCATCCAAACCAGTAGTAAAAAAAAATGCTACTGGTTCAAGCGAACGGGTATTTCCGACGATCAGCTGTGACGCGCAATTTATATTAATTAGAATTGTCAATTTCCTGCTTTCTAGCTAGATTTAGATTAGCTAGATAGCATAGTGGATTTCCCCCCCCCCCTTTCGCTGTTCTACTTACCTTTGCAGACTCAGAAGGCTTCAAAATGTTCCTTTTTTAGCGCTACGTGGGCTCACCTCAGGGGTGCAAAGCATGCACTTGGTAACAGACTCACCGAACCGGTAGCAGACTTCAGAGGATTTTACCACTGGATGTATCTATCTGATTTTAAGTTTAAAAAAAAATGTAATCCACAGTTCAGTTGCTTTACTTGCAAATAGTTCAGTTATAATAAAACAATCCAAAAGAGAAAAAAGTTAGGGTGGGATGGATGACTGTTGGGGATGAAAATATGGTCCAGCAAATCAGCACCTTGGAAATATTTCAAATTGAATCTCCACTCACTCTTTTATCTATATTTAGAGCTGAGCCATTGTTTAAGATCATGGGTTTACTATCCTCACATAGACATACGTGCCCAGTGTAAATTTGTATTTATGTAAGGCATAAATTGGCAGCATTTTTCTTTCCCTGAAGATGGACCCACATTTCCCTGTGAAATGAGTTAAGGACAAGCACAAGTGGGCCTGTCTACTATTCTTCAGAAACAAGCTACTTACTGCCATAGCATGTGGCTACATTTTTTTCAAGGGCATATACATCTGCCAAGTTCTTCTTTTGCAGAAAAAAAGAGGCAGAGCTTTGCTCATCGTTAAAAGAATGGCATGAGGGAAGGAATAACGGCATTTAGAAAAGAAGAGTAAAAGCAAGCGCCACGTTTGCAAGTCTCCTTTAAACTTAAAAGAGATGCTGACAACAAACCAGGAACTATGTTAATAGTTTCAGGTGAAACTGCTTTGAGTTGCTGCCAGAGATCTGAAATGTTTTGATGCTTGAGGATAACTCTACCCTCGTTTAGATCTTCTTTTTTCTTCTTTCCTTCTTTCTAGACAAATGTTATTCCACCAAAAGCTGATGCCACAGTGAATTTCCGCATCCACTCGTCACAAACCGTTGAGGAGGTAGTATGATGAAGAGCAGTGGAGTTTTATATGCCTTTGCTGTTTTAATCTTAGAATTTTCATAGTTCAGATCTAGGCTTGTAGAGTTTGATATTCTAGTTTTACTTGAGGGAACATTAAACAGGTTACCTGGTTTGGATATAGTGCTGCACCCACCCTCTTTAAGCAGCTCTGGTATAACCTGGGCTGATCCTGTTTAATACCTGTTTCTTATAGTCGAGATGCTAGCTGGTTCTATGTCGCAGCTACTGGCATTCTGGCTGCTGCAGCAGAGGGAGAGAGAGCATAATTGGGAGCGATCAACAATCACATTCTCTTCTCCATTTTAGCACCATGTAGGATTCCAGTAGCTGGAGGAATTCCCTCACCACCTACATCTCCTCTAACACAAAGTCCTAATTTATGGGTCCTGAATGATACTGTTACTGCTCCCTGCTTGAGAAAACCTGCTCCCTGCTTGAGAAAGTAGCATTCTCTCTCCAGAGGTATTGGGGAACCTGAGCATTTCCAGAGGTCCTTACCTTCCCACTAATGTTAGGGAAGGAACAAACAATTTTTAGTAGCTGAATATTGCAATACGTGCTTTGAAGGCAAAAGGCCGTAAATTCAGTCCCTGAATTTCTCTGGCTAAGATTTTCTGGAAGCTTGGAAAGACACATCAGTCAGAGAAAGCAATATTGAACCAGATGAAACAATGGTCTCGGTTGGAATCAGACTGCACCCGTTTAGCTGACTGGCTGCCTATATCAACATGCCTATGTGTTATGTATGATAGGTTGTCCATACAAGGATAATAAAGACAAAACAGTTAAATCCCTGGTGTTCCATCCCCTTTTTCCTATGTCTTTGTGGTAGAGGAAGGCATCAAAAGAACATTTTCTCCTACAGTACTTGTGACAAAAATACAAGAAATAATGCTTAAGCCAAATGTTAAGATTATAACAGTTTATTTACCATTCTGCCTGATTGTTGTGTTCTGTTATATGTTTCTGTCTTTAATATGAGTTATTTAAATTTTGGAATTATATCTGCATTAAAGAGACCATTAAAATATATATTTCGATACAAGGACTCAAATTCAAATTGCAAGAACTTTCAGTTCCTTTGTATAACAGGAAATAAGATTTCAGCAATGAGATTCCTGAAAGATTCCTATCCTGTCTACATATTTTTATTGGGAGAGCTGAAACTAGCATAAAGGACTGAGAGAGAGTCTGGAACTTGTGCTAATATCATGATGAAAACAATCTTGGCTGCTTTAACTTGTTTGTTCTTTGGGTGTATTCTTAGATCCTGGAAATATTAGACAAAACAATTAATGATAAGAGAGTGAAGATAGAAGTGATGGATACCTTTGATCCACCCCCCGTTAGCCCCTGGGACGATCAGACCTTCGCTGTACGGGTTTTCCGCCAGACCATCCTGGATGTTTTTCCAGATGTTGCCAGTGTAGTTCCAGGTAGTGGCAGATGCATGATCATTAGTGTTTTTCTCTTCTGTTTCCATTCAATCCCAACATTGTTTCTATTTTTTTTTCTATGTTCTCTTTTGTTCCTCTGCTTTATTCCAATACATGTGGATGCACATTAAAATAAGGACACTTCAAATACTATTAAAATTACATACATACATGGAAACAATTACATTTTTTTCTTTAATGTCTGGGAGCTGTTTTTTAAAATTAATATTATTACTATCAAGTACTGGTGAATTGTATATTCTCCATTCATACATAAGTTTTTTTCAGGATCATGTTGACCTGTGCATTTATTTCCTTCGCTGAGACCATCTGCTATTCGATTACGTCTTCTAGCACTGGATTGTTTCAGTACAAAACTATGACTCTTTCAGCCATTATTTACTGCATTAAAAGCTTTCATACTTAAACAGATTCTTCTTGAAACATTTAATTATTTTCTAGACTTTTTAAAAATTCAGGAGAGAATTGTCAAAGCTCATGATAAAACTTTGGCCCATAAGTATCAGTGCAAATTAAAGGAAACTAAATATAGTACTGATTAAAATTGATGCAGCTTCAGTTAACCGCTAAATATATAGACAGACAGATAGATGGATATAGATATAGTTTTATCACAAAAGGTAAAACACAAAAAAGATAAGCAAACAAATAAAACTAGACAAAAACATACTAATGGTGTTTTTTACTGATTATTTTTTTACAGGAATTTGTATTGGAAACACTGATAGCAGGCACTACAACAGTCTCACAAAGGCTATTTATCGATTTAACTCAGTAACCTTTAAAGCTGATGATTTGCCAAGGTACAGTACAATGATCATTCTTAATGAAATACTGGTGGAGAAACATGAGTGGTTTTTCTAATAAAAGCAAATGAGACATAGCCATTGAAATCAGAGAAAGAAAAGAGTAATTCATAGCCCTGAATTATGCACATAGAATTAATTAAAAGATAGTAGAGGGAGAATTAGAGCTGGTATCTGTCCTTATAAAAAGCAAAATGAAAGTGCAGGATATTTTCTAGAACTAAATGAATATTGATATCTATCTATCAAACTTATAGTTCTGCCCATTTCATAAAAGGTGTCTCTGGGCAGAGCACAACCTGGTTAATTAAAACAGTAAATATATAAAAATAATTATTATTAAAATATAAAGCAGTCTTGTATCTAGTGCTTCCAATCAAAACCACCAGATACAAAAGAATGTGAATATTAACCACAACAATGAAGCCATCTTAGAATTTCACCAGTCCCCTGGGAGTCCTGGGTCTGATGACATAGCCAGATCTTAAGGGACTTCTGGAACATTAACTGGGATAGTGCTAGCCTCACTTCGGAGGAAGGGGGTTAATGTTCTTTCAGATGGGTACCTGTCTCTTGCATCCTGCCTAGCAAACAGGACGTACAGCATGCCTTCTCTACCAATCTGATGGGAAGAGAGCCTTCAGCCTCATGCAGTGAAGGGCTTTTAAACTTAGAATTATTACCTTTAATTAGACCTGGAAGCAAGCTGTCAAACAATGCAACTCACAGAGCTGAGATTAATACCTGCACTGCTGCATGTTCCCACATTGTCAGCTAGATGAACCAGAGAAATGAATGGCTTTACGAAGAATTTCTCATTTATATTTCTGTGTCTGGGTTCATATATTCACTCAATTATAATTGCTTGCTTTTTTGTGTATAATGTGATTCCAGCCATTTTAGTTAACTGTTTTATGAACCAGTTCAAAGTATTTTTTTCAATGTCATGATTCTAGACACATCATACCTTAAGTTAATGGGTTTGCTGTTTTGGACACTTTTTAAAAGAAACTTAGAATATCAGGATTTATATAAGTAAACTTCATAAGTTCTTTAGGCATCTGACAGATAGATTAACTGGTTAATTGAGGGTGCATTGCCTCCTGGGATTTTACCTCAGTTCAGAATCACCTTCAGGTACATCCAGTCCTACAGTGTTGGCTTTGCCTGGGGATAAATGAATATATTGTTGATTCAGTCATAATGTATTTGCTTAAAATGTTGCCACTCTGGAACTCCTGTAGCTAGAATATTCTCCCTTGCTAGGAATGAGCAAGAATTCATTCCCAGCTTCTGGCTCCGTTGTCTTTTTCTTCCTTCCCTTATATTCTGCAGATTTTAAGAAAATTTCAGGTCAATTTCAATTTTAGGGGACGGGAGTAAAAGCAGTGGCAATATGGAGGTGCCATGAATGTCTGTTGTATTAAAGGTTTGCTGTGTTTAACACTCTTTGGGGAAGAAGAATTCCTGATTTTAATTTCTTCGCTGGGGTGTAAAACAAAATTTGAAAGAAAACTATAGGCTCTTGACTATACAAATATATGGCATTGCGTGTGTTAAATGTAAATAGAAATGCTGAAATGGACATTCTCACAATAAATACTGTATCATAAATAAGATTAGATTCTAATTATGTTTAGATCCTAACTTATTCATACTTAGACAGGATTTTTGCATAGGATTAGGCTATTTAATCCTGTTTTCAAAATAGTTATTGGGGTATACGCAAGCTGTTAACAAGGAATTGCCAACTTTGCTGCAACTGGGAGTTATATTTAAAAATGGCTTCCTGGTAGCTTTAGAAAATTTGGCTAATGATGTACTGAGCTTAGAACAGATAAATCCATGAGCAAAAGGAAGAAATTGGCAAGGCTTAAGGAACTCATTTCACCTCTCAAATTCTTCCCAAATATTGGCCCTGTGGGGGCTTTGGAGACCACCAATAGGAAATTCAGGGGCTATATGGCCACACTGTTATCATGAACATTGGGTTGTGTAGCATGCTAATACAAAATTAAGCAACTCTATTAAGGATTACTGTAATATGTAAACTAATCCCTGACTTAATTTAGTTTTGTCTCTGACTATGACTATATCTGAATCTAAATTTTGGAGTACTGTTGCACTGCACATATATTTGTAATATAAAACTTTTACTTAATGATGTGACTAATTTGGCATTAAGCAGCTGCTTTCTTTTCCCCTTTTAATCAGATTCCATGGGTTGAATGAAAGAATCTCTGTGGAAGATTATGCAAAGCAAGTGGAATTTTTCTTTCAACTAATTCAAAATTGTGATTTGAACCAACCCACAGAGCCACATACAAACCTCCATGAGCTATAGAAAGGAGAAAATATAAAGGCTTGTGGGAGTTGTTAGAAATCTGAATTATTCAAAGCAGCTGTGTTCCATTTTATTCTCAGTGCCCAAACTTCTTTACTGTGTTAGAGATTTAAAGTAATAACACAATCTAGCTGCACTGCAAGTTGTTGTGAAACAAACTATTAAACATAACAATTCAACACATTATTCAGAACTATGCAAAGAAACTATGTTTCAGACTAGCTGTATCTCAAAGGCATTACAAACCCGAAAACAATGCTGTCTACATGAATTATGTCACATGCAATAATACCACAATGACCTCTAAAGGAATTAGGTGTGATGACATCTTGACAAATGTGATATAATTAACCTCCCTTCTTCACTTCCAGATAACATCCATGGATGACTTTATTGGAAAATAGTATAATATTTACGGTACATGGGGAAGAACTTTTCTGTTATTTTAACTGTATAGAAGGGCAGTTTTGCATAAGGAAAAACTGGAGTGTCTGGTGCCAAATGTTAAGTATAACATAGAATTATCACTTGAAATGTGAACTATTTCAGTGTTCTTTTTGAATTTCTAAATTTTACCGCTGCAAATTGTTTTTTTTATGCTTATTATTTCATTTTTCATTTTAACTTCTCTTTTGACACCATACTATTTTAAAGGTTTAGCATAGATAAGACAGTTATGAATATCTCCAGTTGGCAGAACTACAGCATTTCTACTGCACAAGCAAAACATATTGAGGAAGAAGGGTGATTCAGAAATGTGAAATATACATACTGTACAAGCCAAATCACAGGTGATTTATCTCAGGAACAAAAGAGTGATTTACCTCAAGGACATATGAAACTCGGGGCAAACTTTGGTACAGGTAGTCCTTAACTTACAAACACTACTAGGACCAGAATTTCCACCTGTATGGGGGACGTGGGAACTGCTATAAGTCACTTTTTTCACCACTCTCTTAAATTTGAACATTCACTGAGTGAAAAGTTGTAAGTCAAGGATTATCTGTATTGTTACATTTTTAGAGGGAGTTAATTTAGTGGGTTTGGTTTCCTTTATTCACTTAATTAATGTATATGAGGCAAGGAGAAACTTTTCAATGTCAAAGCCTGTAGTTCTTGGAAACAAATCTTGTGTAGACCATGTATTAGGGGTGAGGCCAGATTTCTGGTAAAAAAGGTGTCCTTCCAGGATTTCTCTTTTCTTTCATTGTCTGACACTCTTTCCCACAGAAAATACATTTAGCGGCTTATTTTTGCTAAACCTAAATAGTAAGGAGACAGAAGGCGGGGGAGCGTGGGCAATTTTTGGCAAAATAGCAACCTAGAGTAGCCAGGCCACATTCTGTATAACCTTTGAAATAGCAATTAGATTGGAGGGGGGGGATTCTATTCATGAAATTTTGAGAGAGGGGTGTGGGTGTGTAAGTCATGAAAGGGAGAGAGTTGTAGGTTCTCTTATTCTAATGCAGTGTAAGGTTCAGGAGTTCAAGTCCACAAGTCATACATGGGCCATAGTTCCCCACCTCTGCTGTAATGGTTTGATAGCTCTGACTATAGTGAAGGCAACTTTATGTTTATCTTCCTGGGACTCCATTCTCACTTGATATTTTTTTTAAAGCAGACTGTCTTTTATCTTGTTAAACTTTTATATTGTTCACTTGAGATATTACTGTATGCACAGTGGACAAATAATTATATCCAAGCTTATTGCACATTTCATACAGTTTGCATCCTGGGTGCTGCTTGTGTATGACTGCTGCACCTTATTTGACTCTATATAATTACAAGATCTTGTACTTCTGTGGCACATAACTATTTTTCGGTCTGATGACTGCATTTGACTTTTGATTTCAAGCCAGGGATTGCACTCCACAAAATGTAACCAGGCAGTTTTAGAGTTTTTTTTATGATTTTTTTCAAATTATTTTTCTGCACTGAAACATAACAAGAGTCATATACTCCCCCCTAATATGTATAACAAAAATATGATTTAGCAAAATTTGTAGCACATGACAATAGCAAAGGAAGATAATACTATGATTCTTATAGACTTCGCAGTGCTTAACTAATGTATTTTCACGATTACTTTATTTGTATGTGCCAACGGCTAAGGTTTGACATTTTTCTTCTTGGTGATTAAAAAAAAGTAATCACCTGTGAAGTGTTGTTTAAATATATTATAAAAATCACTGGAGTAGTTTTCTATTCCAGTGATTTCTCAACATTATTTCCTCAAAATAATAATTACATAGAAATAAATGTCCACTAGTTTCCAGCTCTCTGTGTCCTAAAGTTCTTCTTTTTTACAAAAACTCTATGATGTGTTAGATGTTCTATTTCACCTCCAGACTTTGATGGTTCACTCATACAGGGTTCACTGACAAAACCGCACCGACAAAACCGTGCCCACAAAAGCAAACAACATAGTGGGACGCAAAAACAACGAAAATAACCCTAACCCTAGGGTTAGGGTTATAATGTTGTTTTCGCATCCCATTATGTTGTTTGCTTTTGTGGGCGGGGTTTTGTCGGGAGCGCATTTGTCGGGTCACGCTCATACAGGTTTGTAATCTCTACATGTCATTAATTGTGATATAAAACACTTCATTTTGCTTCATTAAGCACTTTTTTGAACATTTATGAGATAGTAAGCACAGTAATGCTTAAATTTTTGAATGATCTTTTTTCTCCAAATTATCAGGAAAAGGCAAAATATTCTTGTTCTTTTCAACAAAAAGTAATGGATCCATTGTCTAAAGCAGCCTCTGGCTTTATTAACTTTCATTTAACCAATATTTTCTTGGCAGATCTTCTTTATCAGGCTATGCCCTTGGATGATGAGAAGTGTGTTTGGAAATAAAACAGGATTTAGACACCCATTATGAGGAACATTTGTAAGAAAATGGTTTCAGTGATAGGAAATAGATCAAACACTCATTTATACCCAACATTCTTGGAAACACTGAAGTGTTATCTTTTCCAAGATAATTACTGTATTTTTCAGAGTATAAGACGCAACTTTTTTCCTCAAAAAAGAGGCTGAAAATCTGGGTGCGTCTTATACATCTAATACAGCATTTTTTTGCCTCCTGAAGCCCCCCCCCCCCCTTCACCAAAATGGCTGTGCATACCCTTATGGAGGCCTTCATAGAGTTCCTGAGGGCTGGAGAGGGCAGAAATGAGCAAAAAAAGATGGGCCATTCCCTCCCCCCCCCAGCAGCATTCTATAAGGCTATGCATGCATATATTTTTTTTACAAAAAACAGGCCCGTTTTTGCAAAAATGGGCAGATTTTGCTCATTTTTGGCCCCCCCACATCCCCCAGGAGCACTCTGCAAGCCCCCTCAAGGCTATTCATGCCTTTTATTTGCAAAAAAAGGGGCTCGTTTTCAAAAAAACGTGCCATTTTGGAGAGGTTTGCAAGAGTGCAAAAACTTTTTTTCCCTACGGAAAGCTCTTTAGTTAGAGTGATAGATGAGAATTACATTGATCAAGTGGTGTGCCAGCAGAAACAAGTCTTAGGTGCTGCAGGTTGTCAGTGATTTCCTTCTCCAGCACATGGATAAATACACCTTGAAACATCTACCTGCCTACCTACCTACTCACCCTACCTACCTACTGTATTTCTCTCGCTATCCCTCTACCTACCTACCTACTGTATTTCTCTCTCTCTCTGTATCCACCTACCTACCCACCCTACCTACCTACTATATTTATCTCTATCACTCTGTCTCTCCCTACCTACCTACTGTATTTCTCTCTTCCTCTCCATCTATCTACCTACCTACCTACCTACTCTTTCTCTCTCTATCCCTCTACCTACCTACCTATATTTTTTAATTTGGCCTCTGCAAAACCTTGGTGCGTCTTATAGTCCGGTGACTGAAAAATACGGTAGTGATTACAAAATCAGTTTGTAAAGGAAAGAGACAATGCAACACTATTGTTTTGAATAGGTTTGCCCAGAGACAAGAGTATGATTTTACTGAATGCCTCCAGTATAATAACAGTAGATGAAATGGTTTAATAAGCTATGGCCCCAAATACTATAAACTAAAAAGACAGCTGGAATAGAAACAATACTGACTTTATTCCAACTGCTTCAGTCACACCATTTATCCATTAGAAAAAGCCTTCATTGCAAGAATATATTTCCTTGTGTAGAAAAAGAGTGGTATTCGGCTTCAGATTTTATGTTTCTACATTAATGAAATGCAAATACATAAGCTAAAATCATGCATTCTGACAAATCACAATAAGCTTGGTTTGTACTAACCGTGGCAACCTGAAGATATATAAATTTCAACTTCCAGAATTCCCCAATCAGCATATTGCCAGGGGAATTCTTGGAGTTGGAAGTCCACACCTCTTAAAGTTATCATGGTTTACATTCTAAACAGAAATCAAACAAGCTGCATTATATCATGCCTTGATAGATTTCTGAAACTATCTATAGCAATTTAGTAAATGCCTTTTTAAAGGATATAAAATATGGTATTCAACCCCCCAAGATTTTCTAGTTGAAAATGTCATTATTTTCATAATGTATAATCATTTGCAAAATTGAAACTAAAGGTGAATCCTACACACAGTATTGACAGACTGTTTGATTACTTAATATTTATACAATTTAGAAAAGTTTTAAGGGATAAAATACAAAAGCACTTTTGCTGCCCTTTGCCATAGGCTTAGGTGACTGTACTATATATTTCATCACTCAAGTGTGGATTAGTTATTAGTCAACTGAAGTAAGATAACAAAGGCAGTGAGCTAGAATATTTTTGGTAACCTCACCTTTCTCTTGGAGCTAAGGAAGCTACAGAATATTACAAAGTGGAGCTAGCTATACACTGTACACTGTTCCCTTTCTCTGTAGTGATTACACAAAGACTTATGGTAGAAAGAGCAAAGGAAAAATAAAAACATGATGATTAGTGCCCCAAGCAGTGGATTTAGAGTCCATATTTGGCTTTCACCTTGCAAAAGGCCAATTGTTCTGCAGCCAAGGAAAAAAATGAAGGCTGGTCACCTGCTGGAAACTAGCAGAGTTGAAGCAAAAGTCAATTACATATCATTGATTAATTCCATAAGAATAGTTAAGTTTAGTACAACAAATTCTCACTTGTTATAATCTCAGGCAGTAAAATAGATATGTGTTAGAGATGGTCTACAACTAGGAAGACATGAATTATTTAGCTGTTATATTATTGAATAAGCACTATTAGCTAAATTTTTACAATATGCTAAATCACCATGCTGGGTGTCTGGGTCTGCTAAATTTTTACAATATGCTAAATCACCATGCTGGGCGACTGGGTCTGTGCAGCATATCAACCTAAAACTTTAAAAACTTGTATTATGCTTGGCACAATATGTCAATGCTTCCAATGTAAATAATCTCGTCCCTTCTTTCATCTTTACTGTTTATGAAAGCTCCACTTTTTTGACTTTGCATTAGTCATGTAAAAAGGCTACTGTATGAGCTTATAAATTAGAAATTCTGAGAACCTAATTATTTTCTCCATGCATTTATTGTACTATATGTACAGGAGTATATTAGTAACAAGAATGTTGACTAATCTGTTGGCCATGTGCCAGGCACATATCAACTCTGTTGAGGAAGTGTATGACTAAAGCATACAAAGAGTACTGCATCACATCTAAGACAAGGTCAAATTCCACACCTGCATATTCTGAAGCAATCAGTCATGCCAATTTCTATTTTAAGGACAGGATTTAATTCTGATCCTGTGACTACAGAGCCTGTATATCTGTTGGGGCATGCCAAGAAGCAGGATTTTTAAGACAAGGTAACTGCTGCTATTCAAATGTAAGAGTGCTACGAAGTTCTTCAAAGCTAATCTCTCTATCCTTGACTCAACATTACCTCCTCAAAGTTCCTGTGGTTTGCTCTTCCCCATTCAGGTCCTTTCTATAGCCTGATTGCTATTGTTCAGATTTTAAAGGCACAGTCTGAATACCAAATCCTCATGACAAACAATGTGAGCATAAATTTTGCACTTACACTTTGCTTCTAAATTTCTCAGAGGTGTATGTCAAGCTACTATTATGGTAAATGGATGGAAGTTTTTCACAGGTCCAAAGCTGAAATAGGGAGGAATGACCTGACTATGAAAGGGCTATAGTTCTGGGAGAAATACATATTTTATGTGCCGAAGTTTCTGAGATCTCTCCCCAATTCCACTAGAACTGGTAAGAAAGCTCTCAGCCTGAGTCTTGAAGAATCTCTGCCAATTGATTGTATAGCCAATATTATGCTAGATTAGTGTTCCTCAAACTCAGCAACTTTAAGATATGTAGACTTCAAGACTGGCTAGGGAATTCTGGAAGTTGAAGTCCAGGTATCTTAAAGCTGTTGAGACTGAAAATCACTGAGCTAGTTGGAATGTTAATGGAGATTCTCAATCATCCACATCATGGTTGTCCCAAAGATGCTTTCTCAAAAAGGCAATTGGACTTTCTTGGGTTTTTCTTTTAAATAAGTTTTGTTTCTCATCCAAAAAGCTTCCTCTACTACTAAGCTAAAATTCTGTTGGTGAACAAACCTTCCTGTTCCTGGATCAGGAGGGTTTGCTTACCTGTCATTGCAATGAAACATGGGATTGCCCTTAAAGACCACCTGGAAACAGTGTTATCTGATAGAATCCAGGAGGTGTGCCTTCTCAGTTGATGACTAACTCTTTGGGACAACATGATGCCACCACCACCACCAAGATTTGGATGGTCCTGGCCCTGTTATTCTTATGTAAAGTCTTGAAAGCCTAGCTTTCCCCCTGGACACCAGACTTCATGAGCCTGTCTGTAATACTTGAAAAGCAAATGATTGTCAGACTTAGTTTCTCCTGAGTATGTATGCATGTTATATGTGTGTATATTTTTCTATGTTATATCAGCTGTCCAGCTCTCATCATCTGAGAGATATGCACTATATAAAATAAATTGAGTAAATAAATAAATAAATGAATTTTATCTGCAAGTTG